TCAACACCAACAAGCTTCCCCCAAAACTCACAAAGAAATGGACACTAAACAGCATGATGCTAAACAACTCCTGGGTCAAGATATCTTACCAAAATCTCTGGGATGCCACAAAAGCTATAGTAAGAGGGGAATTCATATCTCTACAAATGCACATGAAAAAAACGGAGGGATCACAAATCAATAGCCTAACAAGCCCCCTTAGCAAGCTGGAAAAGCAAGACCATCAAAACCCTAACTGCAGCAGGAGAATCCAGATCACCAAAATAAAAGTCCAAATCTGGGACACAGAAGACAAAAAGATAATACAAAAAAATCAATGAAGTGAAAAGCTGGTTCTTTGAAAGGATAAACAAGATCGATGGTACCTTAGCTAGACTGACGAAGAAAAAAAGAGAAAACGCCCAAATAAATACAGTCAGAAACACAAAAGATGAAGTCACATCTGACCCCAAAGAAATGCAAAAGATCATTAGAGACTACTATCTACACTTGTATGGAAACAAACTGGAAAACCTTAAGGAAATGGAAGACTTTCTGATATCACACAACCTGCCTAGGATGAAACAAGAAGAAATGGAGACCCTAAACAGACCAATAACAATCAAGGAAATTGACTATGTAATAAGAAAACTACCTACAAAAAAAAAAAGCCCTGAACCAGATGGCTTTCCAGCAGAATTCTTAAGACATTTAAGGAGGAGTGGATACCAATTGTACTGAAAGTATTCCAGGCGATTGAGAAAGATGGAACCTGCCCCAAATCATTCTGTGAAGCTACCATCACATTGATACCCAAGCCAGGTAAAGACCCAACAAAGAAAGAGAACTACAGGCCAATATCTTTGATGAACATAGATGCCAAAATTCTCAACAAGATCCTAGCAAACCAGATTCAACAACACATGTCAAAAATCATCCATCATGACCAAGTAGGCTTCATCCCTGGGATGCAAGTCTGGTTCAACATTCGCAAGACAATAAATGTAATTAAATATATCAACAAAACCACATGATTATATCATTAGATGCATAAAAAGTTTTTGATAAAAACTGTCACTCCTTCCTGATTAAAACACTCGAACACCTAGGCATACATGGAACATACCTCAAAATAGTAAAAGCCATCTATGAGAAACCCACAGCCAGCATACTCCTAAATGGACAAAAATTGAAACCATTTCCCCTGAAAACTGGAACAAGACAAGGATGCCCACTCTCTCCCCTCCTGTTCAATATAGCATTGGAAGTCCTAGCTAGAGCAATCAGGAAAAAAAGGCGATCAGGGGTATCCAAATAGGAAAAGAGGAAGTCAAGTTATCCCTCTTTGCTGACAACATGATTGTGTACCTTGAAAACCCAAGAGAAGCTGTCAAAAGCCTCCTCGCACTGATAAAGTGCTTTGGCAAAGTCTCAGGGTATAAAATAAATGTGCAAAAGACAACAACATTTCTTTACACTAATAATAAACAAACAGAAACCCAAATAAAAAACACAATCCCATTCACAATAGCCACAAAAAAAATGAAATACCTTGGCATCTTCCTAACCAGAAATGTGAAAGTCCTTTACAATGAAAACTACAAAACACTGCTCAAAGAAATCAAGAATGACACAAACAATGCTCATGGATTGGAAGAATCAGCATTATAAAGATGTCCATTCTACCTAAGGCAATCTACAGATTTAATGCAATACCCATCAAATTACCAGCAACATTTTTCTCAAAGGTAGAAAAAACAATACAGGAATTCAAATGGAAACACAAATGACCAAGAATAGCCAGAGCAACCCTCAGCAAAAAAAAAAAAAAAAAAAAAAAAAAAAACCAAAGCAGGAGGTATCACACTACCAGACTTCAAACTTTACTATAAAGCTATAATAATCAAACAGCTTGGTACTGGTACAGGAACAGACATATAGACCAATGGAATAGAGATTCCAGAAGCAAAACCTCAATTTGTCAACCAACTCATCATCAACAAAGCCTCCACCAACCACCACTGGGGAGAGGAGAACCTATTCAGTAAATGGTGCTGGGAAAACTGGCTGACCACATGCAGAAGACTCAAACAAGACCGCTATCTATTCCCCACACACAAAAATTAACTCTAAATGGATTAGAGACCTAAATGTAAAACCTCAAACCATAAGAACCTTAGAAAATGCAGGACACACCTTTATGGAAATTGGAACTAGCATCCAATTCCTGAACAAAATCCGAGACTCACAGGCCATAAGAGGTAAGATAGACAAGTGGAATCTCATTAAACTGACAAGCTTCTGCAAAGCCAAAGAAACCATCAAGAGAGCAGAGAGACAGTCCACAGACTGGAAAAAAGTATTTGCCAACTCCAGGTCTGACAAAGGCTTAACAAATTGGATCTACAAGGAACTCAAATGTGCTGAAAAGAAAAAAACAAACAACCCCATTATAAAGTGGGGAAAAGATATGAACAGAGACTTCTCAAAGGAAGACATCTGAGCAGCCAACAGACACATGAAGAAATGTTCAACCTCACTAATCATCAAGGAGATGCAAATCAAAACCACACTGAGAAATCACCTAACTCCAATCAGAATGGCAATTATCAATAACTCAAAAAATAACAGTTGCTGGAGAGGGTGGGTGAAAAGGGAATACTTCTACACTGTTGATGGGAGTGCAAACTAGCGCAACCTCTGTGGAAAACAGTGTGGTGATTCCTAAAAGCTCTAAATATCGATCTCCCATATGACTCTGCAATTCCCCTACTGGGAATATACCCTGAAGAACTCAAATCACTCTATAAAAAAGATACGTTTATATCTTATATGTTTATCGCAGCATTGTTCACAATAGCAAGAACCTGGAATCAACCATGCTATCCATCAAAAGAGGACTGGATTAAAAAATGTGGTACATATACATGATGGAATACTACGCAGCCATAAAAAAGAACAAAATCATGAACTTCGCAGCAACCTGGATGGAACTAGAGTCTATAATACTGAGTGATCTCTCACAGAAACAAAGATCTGAGTATCACATGTTCTCACTCATATAGTGGACTTTGAACATCTATCGTAATACTATAAGAAAAGGATGACAGTGGTGGAAAACTATGGGGGGGAGGGGAAAGGAGATGGGATTAACAGTAGTCAGTATCTGTTTGGGGACGGGAGACATCCCTAATCAACAAGGGTGCTTGAATAAAGCGTATTTGTATACCTAACCCTTAACTGTACCCCACAATATTAAAATAAAAAATATTGATTTAAAAAAAAATTAAATAGACAAGTTCCTTGAACAGCACAAACCTTCAAAACCCACTTAAGAAAAAATATATAGTCTGAATAGACCTGTATATATTAAAGAAATTGAAGTTGTGGTGAACCACTCAGAGTCCTAATGAAGTGCAGTTTGAGAGTGCTCACTAGTATTGAGGCTCCTATATTACTAAACCAGCAGGCAGACATAGTAAGTCACTATACAGTCTATTATGACTGATTCTGTTTCTAAGCACTAACTGGGTTGCTGATATACACTGGAGAAAAGAAAGATTGGAAACCAGAGGATTTACAGGGATATCTTATTCTAGTTCCTTGGACAATAGCCCCAGTCAAAGGGAAATTGCAGAAATTTAGTAAAAAGATCACGGATTCAAATGTTTTAAGTCACAACACTGGATAAAGAACTCCAGTAAGCTGAGGTTAAGGTAGAGATATTAAAAAATTTAAAGAGAGCTGAAAGAAGAAGCTACAATTTTCTATTTGGGTCTGGGGCAGGATCAAAAACTTTGAATCAGCAGCTATGTTTTCTGCCAATTATTTGCTTTTATCCCCCTTTCTCCTCCCAACTTCCTTATATAAATAATCCTGATTGAAGCTATTCTTTTAGATGTAAAGTAGAAGCATGACCTACTTGATATCACACTGCTATGATACAGTTTTTAATGGAACTTTAAGTGTTATTTATATTAGGAACATGAATTAATCACTAAAAGAAGATCAAGTAGATGCCGGGGGCAAAAGAGGCGCACTTCATCTTACGTTAATACTTACAGATCCATATTGCCTCCGTGCTTCAAATGTTTGCTGTCTTTTTAGATTATAGCACAAGGCTCCCTTATTCTCTGGCATCTAATTGGAATGCAATATCAGGGGATCAGAAATACATTCTCCCATGGCTTCCTCACCTCCATTTAACCTAAGTCCTCCACTCTTGTCTGGTATTCTTCATATATAGCTACTCTCTCTAGGCTGCAGTTCCCTCCTCTTGTTCCTTCAGGCCTAGGATTAATTATGGCTTCTCACTCTTGCCATATGTCATTATTCTTGTGATATGTCAGCATTTCTTGCTATCTAAAACCCTATATTCACGTTTGTGAATATGCATTCTGATAGATATGACCTTTATGTCTTGAAAGAGTGTGAGAAGGACAGCAGAGCTCATACACTCTGCTTCATAGTCATACTCTTCATTACTGATCTTAAATATACATACAGGTGAACACACAGACACACGTCTAGCACCTACCTCATATTAAGTAAGTAATATTTGTTAATTTACTGATTATTTTATGATGCAGAGATACTCAGAAATACAAAAAGATAAAGAACTTAGAGTAGAATATAGGCTAGATGGATGATAATATATAACATTACTAAAAATATAATTTTACAAGGTTTATAAAATGTAAATGTTTTTCATGGAATTTTCTAACCCTTAGGTGTCAAATGACTGAGAAGGAAGCAGATTATTGTCCTCTTTCTAAAAATGAAATGCTCGATGAAGGATAGAGGATGTGTCTGTGGACATGGACCAAAGATGAGAATATTACCAAATTTTTGTTAGTTAATTTTCAATTTATAATTGATATAATGATTGTGAATATTTTGGGAGTACAGGGCGATGTTTCAATGCATGTAAACATTGCATAATGATCAAATCAGTATAGTTACGATATCCGTCATTTTAAATATATTTTAGACTCACAAGAAAGAAAATTACATAACAAGTCTTACAAGTAGGAAACCAACATGGTCCCTTAGCTCAGTCAGTGTGAGAGTCCAAGCCTGCATGGGAAATTCCTTGTGGTTACTTTCCTCAGAGCTTCCTTCATATCCTTGTTCCTCAGGCTGTAGATGAGGGGATTAAGCATGGGGGTTACCACTGCATAGAAAAGAGACACTAGTTTTTCCTGCTCTTTGGAAGACTTTGGTGTCATGTAAGTGATAATTGCTGACCCATAGAAAAGGATGACCACAATGAGATGGGAGCCACAAGTAGAAAATGCCTTGAGCCTCCCTGCAGCTGAATTTATCTTGATTATAGTCACTATAATGCAACCATAGGATAACATAATTAGGGAAACAGGTATAAGGAGAATCACAACTCCCATGAGGAAAATGGCCATTTTTGATGTGTGGGTGTCTGTGGTTGCCAAGATCAACAGTGCAGGGGCCTCACAAAAGAAATGAGCAATATTGTTACTGCCTCGGTAGGGTAGCCTTAGGGTGAAGATGGTGTCCACCACAGACACCAAAATGCCACTGGTCCATGATCCTGTGGCCAGCTGGACACACATTTTCCAGGTCATGATGCTAGGGTAATGCAAAGGATTACAGATTGCCACATACCGATCATAGGACATCACTGCCAGAAGAGCACACTGTGTACACCCAAAAATAAGAAAGAAGAAAAGCTGAGCTGCACACCGTGTGAATGAAATGACTTTCTTCCTGGAAAGCAGGTGGACTAGGGCCTGAGGTACTATGTTGGTAGAGAAACAGAGGTCAGCCAGAGACAAATTGCAGAGAAAAAAATACATGGGTGTGTGAAGTCGAGAGTCAACATGAACAAGGGACATGAGAAGAAGATTTCCAAGCACAGTGACTAGGTAGACACACAGGAATAAGATGAATAGCAGGTCCTGGGTGTGTGGGTCATCAGAGATTCCCAGAAGGAGGAATTCTGCAACCTGTGTCTGATTTGCCTCTCTCATAGTTTTTCTTCCTTTTTAGTAAAAAGTCACTACATGGTAAACATACACATGTATAACCTATAAAATTATATAATTCAGAGTTGCAAGTCTTAGGAATTGCCCCAGTGACTTCCAGTATTTTCAAGAATCTCCATCATAAGGTCTTTTGATGATGATCATGCTACTTTCATTGTAACATTTTCAGTGTTGCAAAACAGTACTTTACACAATGGCCCTTTCATTGTTGGTGTCGTCTGGCAACCATTGTTGATGTCATTGGCAAGTCATCTTTCTTACTAGTGGATTACAAAGAAATCCATTAGGTATATCAAAATACAGTTATCAAAATGGTTTTGAATATCACACTTCTAATAATACAACATAAATACAGACTAGATTTATCTGTAAAGTCATGCCTTTCAATTTTAATTTATTATCAACTAAAACACCTGAGTCTTATATGCTCTTGTTACCTCTCTTCTTCTTATGATTGCGTAGATTTTTTAAAAGTTCCTGTTGTTTCTTCCCTGGAAGAAACAGTCACAAAGGTATAAGAAATCAGAAACAGCCAAAGTACCCTGCAGAACTAATATGTTTCTTCAAGAAAATAACCAGTCTTGAAGGAGCTAGGAAACCAAGGAGTATCTCAGAATATTCCTTGGCAATATTATCTGCAACTTCAGCAGTAGCTCTGTGAAATCTCAACTCATTATAAGCCACCAGCTTGGCTAGTTTCATACTCAGCCCAAATAGCACTGCTCCACCACCTCTATCCAGTCATCTCTCTGCTGAACACTATCTGTATAATCTGTCCACTCCTGCCAGAGATTAAAAGCTGCTTTGTAAACTATGCATACAGCTTCATTCCATAAATAATTATTAATTAAATGAAGTAAATGAAAGCAATTTGATCATATAGTTCAGCAGAGTTATTTAGAAGGCCTGTCAATATCCCTAAAGAGATTTGAAAGAATTTGAAAGTAATAATAAAATTTCATGGAGCTACTCCATAAAGAAAGAAAATAAATTTACTTTAAAATGCAAAGTTTAAGATCCTGTGCAAGAGTTGGGTTCTCAATCCTTCAACTCTCTGGTAAAATTGTTTCAAAATGATGTTTCTAGTATATCAAATAAAATGAATTACTAAGGAAACCAGTTATATTAAAATATAGTTTTCAAAATAGTTTTAGGAAGCAAATGTGTAAGCAGCAATGCATGTGCTTCTTTGTTAATACATTTAAAAAATGTAAATGGTGGGTCTAATAACCCCCTTCATTTAAAAATAATAATGAATTTAAATGTTTGGCGATCTCTTCAACAATTGCACTGTGATATAAAAGCACTTCTAATTTTTACTGCTGACAGTCATAGATATTTGTAATATTGACATGGATGGGTCATCTGTGCTCAGTCTGAAAGAAATATCAACTTTCAGTTAGAGGAAAGTAAAAAAAAGAAGTAGCATTTCACTCCAAAATGAACAACCATCTGGACTGGTCTGTGGGTCAAAGTGATGACTCATAACGGCTCATGCTTCAACTCGTAATTGGTCTTAAGACTAAAGTTGGAAGTGAACTTTTATTTTTACTGTTTGGTGCTTTAGTTTTTTAGTATTACTATTTGTTCACTTTGCTGGTAGAAAGTCTTAAGCAAAAGCTAGTCCAACATACATCACCTACATGACAAAACTCAACTTACAACCCTTCCAAATGTACCCATTGCTGGTTACCCATGAATTCTCTGCTTCTTCCCTCCCTTCCTGGATTACTCCCACAATATTTTCCCTCCAAACAGGAGTTCAGTTGTCCTGGACCAATATCACCACTAACACCCAAGCTGGGAAAAGTTTGACCTAATATTTCTTCTCTTTTGTATCTTTTGACCACCAAATGAAGACTCCTGCAAACAACTTCAGCTTACTGTTCTACTTAATGTACAGATTAGCTAATTTTCAAAAGGTTATTTTTTAAACTCAAAATACACCTTCTCCTTATTCTTTATGTAACTCCCCTCTTTTACAAATTCAGGAAAATCTGTCCAAACATTGTCATATCAAACTATATAAACATAATGGTTACACAGTATTACACTTATACTGGGTAAACCTAAGTGTAGACCTTGATTCAATTTTAATAAAATAAAACCCAGTGTCACCAAACTCTAAAAGCATTGAAAAGATAAAAATTTCTCTGAATAAAGATAAAAAGATAAGAGTCCCCCAAAAAAGAGACTCTATATTTTTTCTCAGTTCTCTTTATTTCAATTTTGTTTTTCTGTAAATTAAGTTTTAAAGAAGATATATTATTAATTTTAAAATTTTGTTTGTTTAATCATATTTTAAATATATACCAAATAGACATTTTCAAGAACTAAGGAAAATTTGATAAATTGTCATCAAAATTAAAAACTTTGTGCTTCAAAAGACACCATTAAGGAAGTGAAAAGACAACCCACAAAGTGGGAGAAAATTTTTGCAAACTATATATCTGATAAGGGATTTGTAGCTAGAATATATAAAAACACAACTTGATAATAAAAAAGTAGATAATCTAATTAATAAATAAGCAAATGATGTAAATGTACATTATTTCCAGAAAAAATACACAAAAGGCCAGTAAACACATGAAAAGATGCTCAAGGTCACTGACCATAAGGGAAATGCAAACTAAAACCACAATGGCATACCACTTTATGCTCTCCAGGAAGGCTAAACAATTGGCCAGTAGGTATATACCCAAGAAGACTAAAACACATGTCCACACAAAAACTTATACCTGAATGTTCATAGCAACATTATTCATAATAGTCAAAAATAAAATAATTCAAAATCTTTCAACTAATGAATGTATAAATAAAAGATGATACCCATACAATGAATTGAACATGCAACAACATGGAGAAACTCTGAAAACATTATACTAAGTGAAAAAAAGCTAGTCATAAAGGCCACATATTTCATGATTCCATTTATGTCAGGAACAGGCAAATCTATACAGAAAGACTATAGATTAGTGGATGGGGGTTGGAGGATATAGGAAGACTGGAGGATGATAATGAGTGCATGGTTTCTTCTGGTGGTGACGGAAATGTTCTAAAATTGATAATGGTGATAGCTGCACAACTTAGTGAATATACTAAAAGTCATTAAATTATATGCTTTAAATGAGTGAGGCATGTGGTATATGAATTATATTTTAATAAGGCTATTAAAAGTAGTTAAAATGAAATATGTGTTTACAAAAGTGACATATTGATTCATATTGAATTACTATATGCATCTTTATCCAGGAGGAAGTTACAAGGCATATCTTTACTTTTGATGGATAATGCTAGTACCTAAAACAGTACCATTCAGTTATAAAAGTGCCTACTGTTATATAGAGGGAACGTAACTCATTTAATAAATAAATAAAACATTAATTTGAACAGTTACATCTATTGGGAGCCAGCCTTGGAGGCCCACCTGATTGACAAGGTCCAGGTGTGCTGAGGATCCCTGGCCGCAAAGCGAGTCCAGGCAGCTGAGGCCCTTCTATCTTCCATCTTTGCTGTTGGTACAGCTGAAGAAATTCTACAGTCATGGAAAAAGAAAATGGCATGTTTATGTGAAGTACTCACAGCTAACCTGGAAATGTCATGGTTCATTTTTCCATTTCCCACTCTGCCACTTGGACTTTTCTAACATATACAAGGGTTAAACTCTGAAGCACATCAAGAATGCCTTCTTTCACTTGGTTATAAGTTACTACATATTGCTTAAGTAAAAAATGATATAAGTATATTCACTCCTTATTTGATTTAGAATTATGTAGTTTAGTGTTTAGACATCAGGTTTTTTAGAAGCACAAGTTTATATTAAGTTCATTATGAATGCATTATAAGTTCTAACACTTATCTAGGAGTTATGTAGGTGATTTATAACACTGACTTAGGATAAAGATTATCATTAAGGTTTTTACTTAATTCAATAGTTAAAACTCTAAGTTAACATTTATAGAGTGGGCTTTCACTGAACTCATAATATACTAATCAGACACTTTTATGATAAATTAGCTAAAGACAGAAAGCAACCCTGGGGGCCTGGGGAACATTACTAAAAGCTTCTTTTGAGTTCTCTTTAGAAATAAACACTGCAGGATAAGAGAAAAGTAACGAAGACACCTGGACAAGAAAGGCGATTACAAAGCTCTGAAGGTCATAGAAGCCCCAGAAGGAGAACTACTGCTACATGAAGAATTTTGCACTTGGAAACTTTCTGGAGACAGTTCAAGGACTGTAATTTGGGACTCTGGACTAAAACTATCATCTTTGGCTTTATGAATAAGACTCGTTGTCTGAATGTTTATAGGGATCTTGGTTTGTTTGTTGCTAAGACCACTAGATGGTGGTAACTTTTAGAGGATATGTACGTGAAGGAATTTTCTTTGTCTTACCCCTTTACAAATGGTATAAAAGCCTTCCCTTAGCAAACATTAAACGTCATCTGTTCAAGAAGCAGGTGCCTGAGTATAATATTTTCATCTTTCGCCTATCCATCTCTCCTTCAGGAAACCTCACGACCCTTGTGGGGCTGGACTCCCACATACATCTCTACTTGTTGATCACTTAAGGCTGCACACTGACTATAGATTAATTTCACCCTTCCTTATCTGTCCACAGGCTATCTTTTCAGTCTTATCCAGTACCACATAACTAGGACACACTAGGACACACTGCACTGCATTTTTATACCTTGAAGGTTTTTTTCTGCTCAGTATAATCCTCTACCCAGTCAGAGGCATGTCCTCTATATAATGCTACATAGAGATAGCATTATTTTCCTTGGGCACTCATCATACTTTGAATATTCAATCAACCTTATTTGTTTAGCAAATACTATATGCCAAGCACATGCTGGGTATTGGGGATACAGACTGAAGACCCAGTTCCTGAAGCCAAATAATCCCACAGGGGAAGAACCAAATTTAGTTGTATTTCATCCCCAGCGCTCATGGCAAATATTGGCTTAATGAACCTGTATAATCTAACAATTGTACCAAACTAATATAGAATTGCTTCTAAAGAGAAATATAGTGTATTATCAAAACAACTGATACAAAAATAAATTTTAAGAACA